ACCTTCGGGCAGACTTCTTAAATAGGTAATATAGAAAAGTTACACGTGTAGCCAATTGTACGCTCTCCTGTAGTAGTTCATTGAGCCACAATGCCAACAAGTGATTAATAAAAGTCAAAAGACCAAAGAGGTCACCTTAATATCAAAAAAAAAAATTTATGTATTGTAGTCAGATTATAAAGTTATCTACAATATAGAATATTACTAGTTTATATTTTAAAAATATAATTTAAATTATATATATTATTATTTATATTTTAAATTTTTAATTTTATATAATATTGTCTTATAACTATTTTTCTATATATTATATAGAATAATATAATATTATATAATAAATATTATATTATATAATGTAAGACTAAAAAAAATATATAATTATACATTTATAGTTAAACCAATATTACTTAATTTAATCTTAATCAAAATTAATTTTTTGTAATTTATTATAAAAATGCTAATCAAATAATTTAATACAATAATAAAATTTTTTATCTATAATAATATAATATAATAAAAAATAATATATATTTGCAAAATTTAATATTAATGAGTATTTACAAACTTAGAATTGTTATATATTTTTAAATTTTTTATTAGTTTTATAATTCATACTTAAATTTAATTATTTAATATATATTTATTTATAATAAAAAATATAATACTATATTAGTATAATTAATTTTATTATAACTACTAATTTTTGTAAATTATTTTATTTAATTAAAGTTTATTAAAATAATAATCTGCTATTATATATAAAATTTTAGTTATTATCAAAACCAAAATTAATAAGATTACTAAAAGTTTTACTAATAAAATTATAGATTATTTATTAAATAAAACTGTTTAGCTAATAATTTTAACTAAAAAATTAGTAACTTATATTGCTAAATTCAGATCTAATTTAATAGATCTAATTTAGAAATTTATAAATATTTTGTAAAAAATATTATAAATTTAAAAGGTATATTTTTAGCTTTACAATATATTAAAGTAAATTGAAATATATAAAATAAATTAGAACTTAAATAAAAGATATTTTTAGATAATTCAATTTAGTTAATAAGTTTATTTATTTATTAAAATTTAGTAATTTACTTTTAAAAAACTTGTTTTATAATTTTGTTTTATTAATAATTTATTTATAATATAAAGATAATATTATTTATAAAATAGCTTAGTAAACAAACTTATAAATTTTATAAAAGGTTAATATTAAAACATAATATTATATATAAAAGTATTAAAACTAGAATAGTTAAATATTAATAAAACTAAAAATTATAATTTAAAAATAATTTTTTTAAAGTAAAATCATTAACTTTAAGAATTAATATTTTTATTTAAGTTTTTTTAAACACAAATACCTTTAAAAGCATCTATATATAAAAGATTACCATTAGTTATATATATATTTTTGGTATCTAATTTAAGTAGTCTGTCTATATATTACTATATATATTTTATACTAGATGCTATACCTGCAAGCCAACTATTAATTTTGTTTATTTAAATATTTTGCATATATAATTCCAATTTGTATTATGATTATATCTTTAGAACTACATCTATTTAAAGTATTTAATATCTTCAAAACCCTTAGAACTACTTTATTTATAATAAAAACTTACTAGAACCTTTTATGTTCTACATATAGCTAAGCTAGTTTTATGTAACATGCTATAGTTTTTTAATCCTTATAGTTATAAAGGTTATCTGTTTAATTACTACATTACATTATTTCTATTTTTGTAAATTTTACTAAAATCCTAATACCTATCTTTTTGATAACTTTTTTTATTATTCTTTACTAACTACTACTCAAAACTGACAAAACTTTACAAACTTCCAATTTAGATAACACAATATGGTATACTCTAGTATTTTTTTCTTTTAATATATTTAGTAGTCTGGTTGGTTATATGCTCTTCTATACATCTTGTCATCTAGTTTATCTATCTGTTTTTTTAAGAGTTTAAAATTTTTTATTAGTTATCTATAATAATTGTTTATATATTTTTTATTTTTTTATTTTATTTATTTAATTTTATCTTAATTTGTTATTATTTTTATTATTTTTTTTAATAATAATTTATAAAATACAATTTGTATTAGATTAATATAATTTAAGTTTTAAAATTTGTTAATAATAATTTTATTATATTTTTTTACAATAAATTTTATAAAATAATTTTTATAAAAAAATTAATTAATAATAAAAAGTTTACTATACTAATGTTTAATATATTGTTGCTATTTAATATAATATATATAAGGTTTTTTTATTTATAATTAAGATTTGAGTTAATTTTTTAAAAATTTCTTTTGATTTTGTTTTATTTAATTTTCTTTTAAAATTAGATTTGTATTTTTTTATATTATAATATAATTAAAATAATTTATATAATTTTTGGTAATTTTTGATAATTAATAATATCAATAATTTATTTAATATTAATTTGACAACTATTAAAATTTTTTTAATATTAAGATGTCATCTTTGATTTTTTTAACTTTATTAATATTTTTGTTAAATAGATATTTAAATAAAATTATTACAGAAAAAGTATACAATTAACTACATAAATAATTTTTTATATTATCTATTTTAGAAGGATTTTTTACTAATTGCTGTATTTAACACTTTTGCTTGAGAATTTTATTTTAAATTTTCTTATTTTGTAACTTTATAGTAACTTTATTAAGTTATCCAAAACCTAAATCCTTATTTTAATTCTAGATTTAATTTATTATTAAGATAAATCTTTTAGAGTCTGTTATATTTTCATTTATAGCTAATCTAATTTTATTATGATCAGAACTAATACTTGTAGTTAGAACTAATTATTAAACTGTTTTTATTTTTTGTAAAGTTTATTCAAATCTATTACTTATCTCTTTAATATCTTTTTCATCTTTTTTTACTAACTGTTATTTAAAACTAACAAAACTCTTTAGACTGCCAATTTAAATAATTTAGTATAATATATATTTCTTTTAGTGATTCTGACAGTTTAGTTAATATATGTGCTTCTTTTATATATCTGTTATTCAGTTTATTTACCTATTTTTTTAGAGTGTTTTTATAGTTTTTTATCAGTTTAATAAATTATTAAAACATTGTGCTATGTTTTACTTAGAATTTTCAAATAGATTTCTGTCTTTTTAGTTTTTTAATTTTTTATAGCTTGTGGTCTGATTATAGGTTTGTACTAAAGTCCTATATAACATTATTTTTATATTTTTCTATATATATATAATATTATATTTTATATAGATGTTTTAAAATTTCAATATCAAATATGTTCTAACTAGATGTGTTTAAGATTACAGATACCTAAATTCAACTAATTAACAAAAAACATTTATGTAATATATATATAATTTTCAAAATTTATTATTTATAAGAATTAATCCTTAGATTTGCTACTTAGAGGTTAATAAATCATATATTGATTTATAAATTAACTATTAATTTATTAATTGTAAACCTAGTTTGAATTTGTAATTAGGATATAATACATTTGTATGAGCATGCTGCTCATAATTTAATAAATATATTTCAAAATTCTAATTCTGATACAAGTATAATTTTATTATACAGTAAATCTCTATAATAAATAGATTATAAATAACCTAATAAAAGCAAAATAGATAATACTAAACTAAAAATTTTTAGAGTTATTTTTAAAATTTTATAATAACTAAAAAGATTTTGATAAACAAATCAATAAGTTATAAAATGTGATAATCTAGTAAAATGAACTGATTTTTGATTTATAGATTAATTTAATTAAATATAAAATAACATTTTAAATAAATACTCAAGACACTGTTATATTTATTATTTTATTATTAATATCAATTAATATATTATATCAATTTAATACTCAAGAATAAAAACTTATTAATTTCAAAAATATTGTATAACTTTAACCAATCAAAGTTCATGTTCAAGCTAATCTTGAAATTTGATTAATCAAAATTATACAATATTTATATTGTTAATTATTTGTTACTAAGTTTTAATTTTTAAGTATTTATTTAAATATATTTGTTTTATAATATTTAAATTTAATAAAAAGTATAAAGCTATTAATTAATAAAGGAATTTAAAATATTATGTAGAATTTATTAATTTTTATTCTTAAAATAAGATTAGTAACACTTCACACTATCTAACAAACTAGTATTTTTTTTTAAAAAAATAAAAAATATAATTATAAAAGATTAATTATATAAACAATAAAGAAAAAGGCTTAATAAGTAATTGAATATAGATAAAATACCTATAACTATAACATATAATTATAAAATATTAATCTAAAAACATAATTAAATTGTAAAACATATTGTTAATAAAAATTTAAGCTTAAAAAATGCAATATAAATGTTTATAAATTTATTATTGCTTATTTATTACATACAAGTAATTCAATTTTTACCAATCCATTTAGTTAAAACTTTATCAAGTTCATCATGTTTTAAAGGCTTTGCAAGATAATCATTTATTCCTGATTTAATACATTTATTCCGTATCTCTTCTACTGGTAAACTTGTTAGAACAATAATTGGAATACTTGAAATTGGTGGTTTCATTGCTCTAATTGCTTGTGAAGCATCAAAGCCCGACATTATTGGCTAAGTATAATAATTAATGAATTTGTAAATATTTTATAATAATAGATATAACAATGAATTTAGACAAATAAATTTACCAAGTTATATTCTGTTAAAATTAATGAAATTTTATGAGACTTTATCTGATCTATATCTGAAAAGAATGAACTTGAGGATTTCGAATCAATCAATGTAACTGCTTCTAGACCATTAGTTGCAGAAATTGTTGAATAACCAAGTTTTGAAACTTGTTGCAATGTGTTCTGAAAATAATAAATAATTAGAAAATTGATAAAAATAAATTGAATCATCATTTTTAAATTTATAAGTTACCTCTAAACTAATAGAATTATCATCCTATAAATAATGACGAATGTTAGTCAGCATAGATTAAAAAGGAATTAAACATAATAAATCAACATATTAAAAAGTATTTGTTTTAACAAAAATAAAAAGGAACAAAAAAATACCACACATAAAATGCACTTGTTCATCTTAGAATCACTTTTTGTTATGTCGTTATATGTATCTTGATATACTCTCTTCAAAATATTTTCATTAACATGCAGATTCTTATTATTTTTATTAATAGCTAAGTAACTGCTTTCCATATGCATAAATAGATTAATTAACTTTTTCCATGTAATAGGAGTATTAAGAACAGTAGCCGTTCCACCAACTTTTTCAATTAATTTGTTTGCTAATTCATTTTCATCATTCGGAAATACTATAAAAATTATTACTAAATTATTATTATTCATTTCCAATTCTCTTAACTCCAATGCAGCTTTCATAACCTCCTCTTCATTGTTTTCATAAAGTCCAATAAATGCTATATCATAAGCAGATTGATTATTTAATTCTTTATAACTTTTTGCTACACTAATACCTTCATCAAAGGTATCAAAAGCATCAATTTTTTCAATTACTTTAAGATAATTCAACAATACATTTCTTGTATCTTTAAGTGAATGAATGATTAATATCCGTTTTTGTTTTATAAAATGAGGTAATACATAACTTATTTGATTAAAATAAGTAGTATTTAATAATGAAGAAGCTATTGATAATAATTCTACATTCCATGTAAACCAAAATTTACTTCCTTTTCCCAATTGACTTTCTACTTTAATTTCTCCTCCATTAATTTCTACTAAACTTTTACAAATTGAAAGGCCAAGTCCGGTACCATCTTGTGTCTTAGTAATTGACATATCACTTTGTGAATAACTTTGCCATGCATGTTTTATATATTCTGGATCTATACTATTATTATTATTAAATAAATCATTAGCTTATATACTTAATAAATAGAATATACAGAACTATAAAGTATATAATTTTACCCAATTCCAGTATCACATAATTCAACCAATAAATTTCTTTTAATAGTTTGACCGTAAGTCTGTTTATCTTTATCATTAATATCTTGTAATTGCATTGAAATTGTTACTACGATTTTACCCTTGTCGGTAAATTTAA